TAGGTCAAGTTTATTCAACATTGGTTTCCATAGTCATGGATTGTTATCAATGCTTATAGAATTTTCTTTCTTTATTTCAGACTACTCATCTTAGATTCTAAGTATACATTCATTGCTGTAATTATCTGACCATCTCTCTCCTCACTGGACTGTTTGAGAACCATGAGAGCTAGAGTCATGTCCAGCTTTGGCTCGTCGTTGTATCCTTAGAACCTGTCTAGTGCTTGTATATGATGAATACACAATAAATATATGTTGATTCAGTAAATAACTTAAAACATATTAAATAGTGCCACAGTGACTTTCCTTTAATACTAAACAGGTGTCTTAAGTATGATGTGTTGATTTAATGTATAGTTGTAATATATAGCCTGTAGGGTAACCACTTGAAAGGATTTGAGTAATTTTAGAGTAATTTTCATTCTTTGGCTTTAGATTTTTTTCCCAATAAAAAGAATTCCAGTTAGTGCTTACTTAAGTGTGATAGAGCTATTCATGTAAAGTGGTTATCAGCTGTTAGGTTTAAAATGCAACTTGATGTGATGCCAGTTCCTTGGGAATGTTTTTAGTGACAAAAAAAATGTGTGGGAGTTATATGTTTCTATGAATGGATGTAGAAATGAAAATATATATGATTGTGAATGGAGATAGGGTTCTAAAAGTAGAAGTAGTTCAGAGTGTGCTGTTTTATTCTAAGATAATTTTATTAGGAAAAAGGTTAATTATAAAGGAATATTAAGTACTATACATGAGATATATTTTTAACACTTTCATGCTTCTGAAAATGTAAAAGTTAACATGTAACTATGATATGTATAAAAGAATGTAAAAATCAAATGTTAAATTATGGCAAGAGATAGGTGAATGTTTAAAAAAAAAAACTCGCGTAGTAGCGAGTGTAATAAAACAGTTAAATGTTACATATTGATGTCCTAGTTAGAGTTCGTTTGTATAAACCTTGAAGGTGGGAGAATCTTACTGTAGAACATTATACTTTGTATAACCAGATAGATTACCTAGTTTGTGCCTTAAGTTTCAAATTTGAAATAAGCTATTATTATCTCCTCAGTGCTATCTGTTGACTTTTATATACTTTTATAATGTAAATGTTTTGTGTAAAATAGACATGTAAAATAATACTGTATTATTTTTTAAAAAATCAAGAAGGAAGCATAGGTTTCAGGAACATTAGACAAGATCAGAAAATAAAAGCCTAAAAGATCTGACCATACCCTTTCTCTGTAAAGTAGCTTTTGTGGCTCTCAGCTGCTTGCAGATATACATTAATATCTAGAATATTATGCAAAAGATAATTTTGCTTGGTTATACTGTGGAAAAGGAGTTGAGAAGGGAGGTTATTTTAACAGACATTTGGGACATAAAATTCACTGGACTCGGGGATTGGTTAGCTGTGGGTAGTAAGAGGGAGGGGTTATAAGGATAAAACTTGGGGTTCTGGGTGGGAATATGGGGCACTAAATGAGATACAGAGATAGGCATCATCCCATCTTTACCAGGGAGGGAAGGCTATGGGCTAGCCCACTCCGGTGACCCCTTGTTTAAATACTTTAATGAGTTCTTTATAAAGTCCAAGGGGATCTCTGCATGGAGAAAAATACTCATCACTGCTCATAACTTAATTAATGGTGTATTAAGCCTACACTCATCTAATAAAGTAACTTCTAAAATAAAAAATTTTAAACACTTAGGATTGATTATAAACTTATTTTGTTAAATTCTCTATAATAGTTTAAATTAGAATTATAAATGACTGTAATACTTCACTTTGTAATGATTGCAAAACTTAGTACACTTAAATCTATTTTAAAATATTAACCCATGGGTTTAACTAATTAATTTACTCTTTCTGTACTTGTTTTTTTTATTTCTTCCTGGGGTTATAATAATCTTCCCAGATTCTTATTTCTGTACTTTCCCAGGATTATAGTAATCTTTCTATGCCTTCCTAGGGTTACAGTAATCTTACCACTACCAAAACAAACCAAATTTCAGGTAAGTCAAGATTTAGTGTTTTTTGATAAGTTTGATTCTCAGCCAAAACGCAAGATTTGGTTATGCCTTTAAAGATGATTTAAAAGCTGTGTTGTTGTGCACTGGGTCCCTTCTATCATTAAACTTTACCTACTGAGTTAATGGGATTTTTTAAGCTCACGCTTGTCTCATAGATTTTTAGTTTCTTGCAGCCTGGAGTTAGTCCCTAAATGAAATACTTCCGTGTTCTGTTTTCTTTATGAATTGCCCTTTTCTGGTAGCTTTACTGCCACAATTTAATGCATTTCATCTCCCAAGAGGTCAGGGATCATTAGGTCTTAGAGTTAGCTCTCTTTAGGAATTTCACTAACTCATCCAGTTAGAACTCAGAGTTTCTGCTTGGTCCTTGTGTGACAGGGGTGCTCATCACCACTGGGGCTCCTGTATGGGTGTGTGTGTGTGTGTGTGTGTGTGTGTGTGTGTGTGTGTGTGAGTGAACCTGTGCTGAATCCACCTCTCTTGTTCTTGGTCCCAAACATGCTTTTTCTGGAACTATTTGGCTTAGCCCCAGTTCCCTGTATTTACCCCTTCCTCGGTGTACCTAAACAAAAAAGTATACAGCTATACTTTATAAACAGACATAGACTTAATAGGAGAAACAAACTCCTAAGCGTTAACACTAACCTAATTATTAACTGTGATTATTACAACTGACCTAATTACTAATTATAATAATTATTTTCACCCTTCTTTACAACTATATTTTTATGTATTTTAACTTTCCCTTTTGTATCTTATTATGGAGTCATGGCTTATCATAGATTTAATTTGTTCCATTTAGCTATAATTATTATTCTATTATGGCTAACCTCAAATGTGCTTCTTTATTCTTTTTTTTTAAGTATTTTATTTATTTATTTGATAGAGAGAGAGCATAAATGGGGGGAGGGGCAGAGGAAGAGGGAGAAGCAGACTCCCCGCTAAGAAGGGAGCCCAACATGGGGCTTGATCCCAGGACCCCGAGATCATGACCTGAGTCAAAGGCAGATGCCTAACCGACTGAGCCACCCAGGCGCCTGGCTTCTTTGTTCTTTCAGCACTACCCTGGATGTTTAAAAGAAAAAAAACTAATTGCTTTCTGACAACAAGATGTTCTAGGCACATCTTGATTTTTTTTTTTCTTGCCCCAAGACATGGAACTAGTACTCTCCCTAGAACTCTGGTTCCTTTTCACAGAGGACAGACATTTAAAATAATATAGGTAAGCTTAAACACATTGAAGAACATTGAAAAGCTCAGTTGTGCTTGTATTTATCCGAACATTATTGATCAAATTATCTTCATATAGTCTTTTTAATGCTTTGTACATACAATTTTTATGTATATACCATTTCTTTACTGATAGTGACCCTAAAATACTATTTGTGAACAAATTAATCTTGAGAGAAATGGATATTTCCATAAACAGCACACCAGTACTTTTGAGTGTGGTTATTTATTTTGCTCATCACATAATTTAGACACTATCGATTTTTTTTTAAGATTTTATTTATTTGTCAGAGAGAGAGAGAGAGTGTGCACAAGCATGAGGAGTGGCAGGCAAAGGGAGAAGCAGACTCCCCGCAAGCAAGGAGCCCGATGTGGGACTTGATCCCAGGACCCTGGGATCATGACCTGAGCCAAAGGCAGATGCTTAACCAACTGAGCCACCCAGGCGTCCCACCACTATTAGATTTTTATATCTACAGTATCTCTAAATTCCTACAAAGATGGAACTACATAATTATCTCCTAAGAATGCATTAGCCTCTTCTGAGAAGTGGAAAAAGTCTTGTCCTATAGTTAGAAATACACCTAGTGACACCACTTGCTTTTTATATATGCATCTTCATATATACAAATGGGAGAGTGCTACTTTCCCTTGGAAAGCATTCTTCACTTTACAGAGAACTCACTTTAGGCTTTGTTTTCTAGCCTTTTATCTTTCCATTTGTTTTTTTCTAAATTAGGGATCAAACTCAAATGCCCACAGGCATATAAACAAATCTGATAAGGACTGTAATAAGCTAGGGAGTGCCCAGTGTCTTTTTAATGTGATGAAATAGCGATGATTATTTCTTCGTTTTAGTTAATTTTTACCATGAGGATATCCAGATCCCTTGTTGCCAGTGCTTGAGATGTTTCAAGAGAAGCAAGAAATCTGAGGATTTTGTTTACATTTTCGCAATGTTTACATGTTGGCATTCAATTCAGATTTTAATTAATTTCAGAGCGAGCACGGTGGGGGGGGGACAGAGGGAGAGAATCTCAAGCAGACTCCCCACTGAGTGTGATGTTGAAAATGTGAGGCTTGATCTCATGACCCTGAGATCATGACCTGAGCTGAAATCAAGAGGATGCTTAACCAACTGAGCTATCCAGGTGCCCCTAGTTCAGATTATAAAACCTAGTTGGTTGCTGCTTCTGGGCCAGGACTTTGCATCCTCTGCTCTAGATCTTATAAAACTTGAAGATCAAAATCAGGCCCAGTATTAAGTAGTTGATGAAGGACACACATTTTTGTACCCCATCTGTTATGCTCCATTTCTTTCTCAGAATTGCTGTGTAGTCCGTTGCAGTTCTTTGACTTGTTCCTTGAAAGACTGTGTCACTTCTGAATGAAAGCAGTTGACAACGAAAAATAAATATTGTTTGGATCTGAGCATGTCTGTTGCTGTTTTCCTCCTGAAAACCTTGGTGATTACAGTTCTTTAAAACTAAGTCTTCAAAATCCTCAGTCAGTATTCTACTTTGCATCCATCCATGTGGGCTGTGCTGGTAAAGTCGCTGGGAAGCGGTAGGAAAACGGTATAACCGTCTAGGGGAACTATTCACTAGTGCGTTCGTTATCTTGTTAGAGAACAGAATTTGCTTGCTGGGTTTTTAGATGGCCTGGGTTTCTAAAAATAGCTCTAAAATGTTTTTATCTCTCTCTCTCCCTCTCTCTCCTCCCCCCACCCCCTTTTTTAGGTTTTCAAAACAAAAACAGGGTTGCAATCTTGGCAGAACTGGACAAAGAGAAAAGAAAATTACTAATGCAGAACCAGTCTTCGACTAATCATCCTGGAGCGAGGTATTGAAGAATAATGTGGTTTTCATATTCAGGATATAAAAAAGATCTTGGACAAAATACCTCAAGTTGGTTGGCAGACGTTTGTCTCTGTAACGTTGCAATTTACATGTTTTGTTTCTTTGTTAGATTTGAAAAAAATTAAATGAAGTGATTAGATCTTAAATATTCCAATTCTAATTAGAATATTTAATGGTCCCCAGAGCCTACTTTTAAAAAAAAGAAAAGGGTTTTGTGTGGTTTTTGTTTGTTGCTGAAATTATTGTCAGTGCCCCCCTTTTTAAGCATTCTGCAAAGCAGGTAAAATGTAGGTGGCTTCGTCTTTATTGTGTCCAGTTTCTGCCTTCTTCCATCGCATTTAGCCACTGCCCTGGCCTTGCCCCCTCTTTCAGCCAGACCTCCTGAAAGTGCTGTCTGTCCTCACCTTTACTTTCTCACTCATTGACTCCTCAGCACATTCCAATCTGACTCGAGAGCCACTCTCCCCTTCCTAAGAATAGGTGCTCGCCTTGGTCACCTACAGCCTCATGGTTGTAGCTAAATCTGGTGGGCCGAGGGCCTTCCCTTATTAGATGGCTTAGTGTTGTCTGACACCACTGATCACTCTGTCCTTCTTGAAATACTCTCTTTCCTCGGCTTCCACTGGCTCTGTGCCACATGGTCTTGGTTTCTTTTGCAGATGCATCTCCGCTGCCTGTGTCGTGAATGTCCGTGCCCTTCAGAGTCCGTTCCTACAGCCAGTTTCCTGTCCTCACACAGCTTTTCCCTGGGCAGTTGCCTCCACTTCCACGACCTGTTATTTATGTGCCAATAACTTTTATCTCATCTTTTCTCCCAAGTCCCAAATTGCCTCTTGGGTAGCTCCACCCCGATGTCCCTTAGGCATTTCAAACTTGGTGTGTCCCAAGCTGAACTCCTCTTCCCTTCCCGTGCTCTTACTCACCACTTACTATTCTTGGGTTCCTTGTCATGGTGAATGGCACCGATCTACCAGTCCTCAAAGTCAGAAGTGTGGACTTCGTCTATTATTCCCTTTCATGTCCGTCTCCGATCTGCCTATTTTTCTTCATGGCTACTGATGCCACCCTTGTCCTGGCCACTCCCATTTCGACAGCTGCTTCCTCACTGAATTTCCTTAGTCTTCAGTCCTGAATATATTTATCAGTTGTGTCAGTTAGGATGTTTTAATCTGGAAGTAACAGAAAACCAAGAAAATTGGCATACACGTTAGGATGTATGTTTCCCGGGAGTGTGAAGAGCCGGTGGTTCCAGAGGGGCTTCATGCAGTGGCCAGCGGTGTGAGCCGTGCTCCGGCCTCCCTCCAGCCTTCCTTTCTGCCTTTCTGTGTGGGCCGGCAGCTCCCTAATGGTCCAGATGGGACTGCCATAGTCTCAGCCTCACCGCACGCTGAGCCAGCTACAGAGGCCAAAGCCAGAAAGGTGCCTGTGCTACGTTTCCCTTTTAAGAGTGCAGAGAATGTTCTCAGAAGCCTCCCAGCAGGCTGCCCGTCAAGCCTGGCTGCCCAGAACTGTGTCTCTTTCTCTTGCTTAAACTAGAAGCCAGCGAGGGGAATGGGAATGGCATTGTCTTACACCGATCAGAGTTCATTCCCTGAGGGATGAGCCTGGCCAGCCCTGAAGCGTGGTACCACCAATACTTGAATGAAGTTTGGATTCCATTAGCAAGGAAATAGGGAGATAAACAGTTGTGGAGGAGGTGACCAGCGCAGTCTGCCTAGCGTGGTCTTTCTGAGCCATCATGTGGTACTTGTGATCATGTCACTCCTCTGCTTTATTAAACTCTCTGGGAGTCTCTCTTTACTGTGAGGATAAGATCTACATTTCTTAATTTATTTCACAGGGCACCTGCCTTTCTCTCCGCCCTGTCATCTTCTGCCAACCCACTTCACCCCTTTCCAACCCTGACCTCCAGTCCTGTCAAGCTCTTAATTTCTTCAGACACGCCAAGGTCTTTATCCCTGGGCTTTTCGCATGCTGTACCTTCTGCTTGCAACATTCAGTGCTTCTGTTTTCATCATAAATGTAACCTTATGATAGACTGGAGTACCTCAGATCAGTTTGAAAGTACGGGACCATAGATCATCCAAAAAATAATCAAAAACAGAGGTGATTTGAAGCCCCAGTAAAATAACATAGGCTTTCTTCATATAAATTAATATAAATCGTGGGAGAAGGAAAAAAAGACTTATTCTGGGAGGCCTTTTTTTTTTAATCCCTATAAAGAACATATAATGAAAAATGTGATTCAGAAGTAAGGAAGTTTCTTCTACCTTAAACAGCCAAATAACTAAGATTCCCATTTTAGCATTGCACTCTCGAGACCCTCTCTTAATAAGGACTTCCGGGATCATGCTGAGCAGCAGCATATTGCAGCCCAACAAAAGGCGGCTTTGCAGGTGAGCAAAGTGGAACTGACACTTGGGTCTCTGGAGAGTTCCCGGGTCTTGGAGGCCAGCACAGTTCCTAGTTCGTATTTCAGTGGAGCAGTATCAGTAAAAACGTTCCACACATAACTGCAATGGTTTTCTGATGTTGAGTCATGCCCAGAGGATTTGAAGGACCCATACAGCAGTAATGAAAGTATCCTTTATGGTTTGACACCGTCATCATTGAGTCAGGGCTGTCCTTGGCAAGGGATTGCTTGCGTACAAGGATATTTGGATGGACAGAATGATCTTAAAAGCTGAACCGGCTAGTTGAATAGTACATACATATATTTTTTCAAATTTGTCATGCTGTTACACTCCTTAATAATCTTACTGGTGTACTGGATTCTCTTTTTAATGGTCAGCATACCTGTTGTGCAGGAAATGATAATCCATCAGTTTAAAAAATACTGTTCTTCATAGTAATAAACAGTTTTAGTATCACAGTGATCTTGGATTGTTTAACTGACATTTCCAGAGACCTGGAACAAGCCATCATTACCTATGCTGTTAAACCTTTGAATCTCAGAATTGGAAGAGGCATAAAAGATCATCTCACATAAGGCAACCTAACAACAGTCTTCCTTTCTCTAGTGACAGAGGGAGGTCGCTGGTGGTTTTCTGTTACTTATATTTCAACATTCTCTACAAAATGTTGGAATCTTAATCACCAGTAATCAGCTCCCTTGCCCACCCACTCCCTTCTCAACTACTGCCCTTCTTTCTCAAGCACCTGCTTTGTTGATCAAAGGCAGATTTTGGGGATCTTTGTTGCAAGTTTCCGCACTCCAAGGAACAAAGTAATTCATGTCTTTGACTCATTATTCACTTTAGAGAATCACAGAGGACAGAGTGGGTCTGATAAATGAGTGCCTGGTGCAGTTTGTTAATATAAATTCTTTTTTATTATCTATCTCCTGTGTATTTAAACAAAATTAGCAGCAGCAGAACTGATTTTTAAAATAAATTTGGTCTTAAACACTCAGATAGGATAAGTAATTTTAATGCCTTGGTTGAAAAATTGTGATGTCTAATAGTTTAATTGCCTTTGCTTTTTTTAACCCTTCCCTAGCACGCACACGCACACTCATCTGGATACTTCATCACCCAAGACTCTGCTTTTGGGAATCTGATTCTTCCTGTCTTACCTCGCCTCGACCCAGAATGAAGAAAAGATTTGTGACAAAAGTGACTGGAATATCAGATGCCAAAGCTACTATCATTTAGTGCTTTACAAACTGTGACTTTCAGAATTTTGGTGAACTTTTATACTTTTATTGCTTCTTTAAAAGAAAGGCATGTGTACGTCAGAGCAGAAAGAAGGGTCTCCAGGAGGATAAGAGCTCTGGGGGCTGTGGTATCTGAGGAACTGGTGCTGCTGCCTGTGACTGTTTTGGAACACAATTTGATTTTCTGAACCCAAATCAGAATTGAAGGGTCACATAAATTCACCCCTACCCCCACCCCCCCAACTAGGTGGATTGAGTATATCATTGTCCACAGTAGACTTTCATGAACCATTTATAGTACTTAACTTTAAAGAAATGAGGGTGCTTTTAAAAACGTGAACCAATAGGCTTAAATAAGTTACATTCATATTTGCTGTTTGTAGAACTGCTATCAATGTACCTTTTGTGTTTATAGTCAACTTGTCATCCTGAAATACTCTTTAACTCATAACCAACTCCCTTATTCTCCATTTTCAAAGAATCTAAGACTAAGTTACCAGTCTTAAACATCTTTTATAAACCTATGCTACTATAAATTATGTGATTAAATGCGATTAAAAACAATGATAAGAAATGTGATTTTAAAATTTGTACATGCTCTTAATTATTTAGTGTTACTACACGTATGGTGTGCCCACGTTTTATTTATCTAACTAAAAACAGATGCAAGTGGGGCCCCTTTTTAGTTACTCTAAGGAGTCAGGTTAAGCAAGTTCCTCAGTATGACACATCTTAAACAGAATTTGGGGTGCTTATTTAAGCTTGCAGTCCCTCCCACCTTACCCCAGTCCTAGAGAATTAGAATTTCTAATTCAAAACAAAGTCTGAAAAACCTGGGTAAGGAATTCAGTTTTCTTTCTATCTATATATCTATATCATATAAACTCATAGATTTCTTTTTTTTTTTTAAAGATTTTATTTATTTATTTGAGAGACAGAGAGAATGAGAGAGAAAGCACATGAGATGGGGGGAGGGTCAGAGGGAGAAGCAGACTCCCTGCTGAGCAGGGAGCCCGATGCGGGACTCGATCCAGGGACTCCAGGATCATGACCTGAGCTGAAGGCAGTCGCTTAACCAACTGAGCCACCCAGGCGCCCCAAACTCATAGATTTCTTTTGTCCCTGAAACTTAGCTAAAATTAGCTAAAATCTACGTGGGTTTTTTTTTTAACCTTTAATAGGATTGAAATTATATTTTATACTATATCACAGATACAGTACTTTATAGAACTACTTGTAATTGACCTCATATTAGGCTTGAGTCCCCCTCATCTCTGGGGGTAGGATGAAATTTAAACTTAAAATTCCAGTTTGGGTCAATATTTAATTGAAGTTCATCTCCTTTTTCAAAGAGTTTCTTTCCTTCCTTCCCTAGATATTTGCACCAGCTGCACAGCCCTAGGTTAACCCAAACTAATTAAAGCAGGAATGGAGAATTCTAGACTTGGCTGTGCCATTTAGATTCTTTCTCTTGAGAATTTGAACTGATTTCCTGCACTTGGGTGAGGTGACAGCCATGCCCATCGTAATGGTCGCTATTACAGCTGTTATACTCCCTGCTGCTGAGGAGGTCCCCAGGGGCCTCTGGCTCCTGTCCTGCCCCAGGTCCATCCAGCCCTTCCTTGGGTCTTCTACAGTGGCCCTCATTTTCTTGAATTATTTTGACAGTGTCAGTTCTGTGCAACACATGACCAACTGACATGGTTCTAAATCTGTCTACTGATGCTAAGGAGATAAACAATTTGGATTGTATACTTTTTATACTATTGAAGCCTCTACCTAATGTGTGACTTTGATAACCTAGGTAAAGAGATCTTTTTTCAGTGGTATCTTTTCTAATCTCTTAGCCTTTTAAATAGATGTTGTTAAATCCTGCAGTCCTGGCTAGGAAGCACTCCCTCCCACCCCTCGCCTGGGAGTCCCTGACAAATTCAGGTCAGTTCCATATGTGTTCGTGAATACGCACTCTGGAAAGCACCGGAGCACGGAGGAGGGTGGGGAGAGGTGAGAAAGATGAGGCCTGCTCTGAGGGAGGTCACAAGGAGGGGGGCCTGTTGTGGGGCAACAGAAACGATGAAGGAAGGCAGAGCGCAGCACGCCACGGAAGAGGTCCCCAGAGCACATTGCAGTCTAGATAGGCCTGGGAGGACTGGTAGGATTTCACCGGGAAGGGCCGAAGAGCTGCTCCAGGCAAAGGTCAAGGTCTCATAATCAAAGAGAAGGAGGGACTAAGGCCGTTGGGAGGACTGCAGAGGACCAAGGGAAAAGCAGTGCACTAGTCAGAAGCCCTGAGGTGAAGCTGGGGTGGGGGGTGGGGGAATGGGGGTAACTCACTTCACCTCTCTCTGCATGTCACTCTGTCTCGCCTGTAAAGTAGGAACAGCACACGGCCTACTTTATAAATCGTCTAGACCAGTATTTCTCGAAGTGCAGGCTCAGCCTGTTACTGAAATGAGAAGCCAACTAACTTAATGGTTTAATGGAGTGTGACCAGCATTTTTTTTTTTTTTTTGGAAAACTAGGAAGCGTGAGAGTGCATGGCATGTTGTAATAGGTTTTGTTTCATGAATCTTCTGTGTGTTTGTGTGTGTTTTACTTATTTTGTTTGTTGTATGTTGTACCAGTATATAAGGTCTTTGAGGCAATGGTTTGTGTTTCCTTCCCTCCTTTCCTTTTCGTTCACAAGTGTATTTTGCTTAGACCAATATTTGGCATATAGAAGGTGACCAGTACCTGCTTATTGAAGGAATGAATGAATGAGTATATATGACCTCTGGGTCATGATGGAAAGGGTATTTATTATTTTTTTTTTTTACCCTTGAGTCATGGCAAAAAGAAGTTGTGAAAGCTATTGCTCAGTAATAGAGATGATGGGGCACCTGGGTGGCTCAGTTGGTTAAGCGTCCAACTCTTGATTTCAGCTCAGGTCATGCTCTCAGGGTTGTGTTACTGAGCCCTGCGTCGGGCTCTGCACTCAGCATAGAATCTGCTTGAGATTCTCTCTCTCCCTTTCTAAAAAAATATATATAAATAAAATAATAATAATAATAATAATACAGATGACAGTGCTTTGTATGATTCTGAAATTAAAACTGAAATGACTCAGTAATTTCAAAGAGAGATTTTGTTTCCCCTGAGCAATCTGTAAAATGTCTCATTAAGTTGTCTCAGTTCTTTCCTTCACTTTGGCAGCAGAAACTCAGCCTTTCTATGAGTTGAAGGCCCAAGGCTTTTGGCAAATACGGTCACACTGAGAATAGAAGATCAGCCTAGAGAGCGTCAGGTCACTGGGGCAGCGCCACAGCACTGCGGGTGTCCTGCCAGCCAGCACGAGTCCCAGCTGAACACCAGCTCAGCCGGTGCTTACGGAATGCTGTTCTCCTTCCCCTCTGTATGCACAGCGGACACAACAGTTTTAAAATGAGCAAATACAGCACGAGGAGGAGGAGGAGGAGAACTTCATTGTCCTCAGCCTGAGAATCTAGAGCGGGTGGGACAAGCCCACTAGAAGCTAACACTGGTTGCCCCTTATTGGTGAAAGGATGGGCCTGGATAGACCAGTGAAGCCTACAACAGAATAAGCATTTGAGGGGCACCTGCTGGCTGTCGGTGGAGCGCATGATCTTCATCTCGGAGTCGTGAGTGCAAGCCCCACACTAGGTGTACAGGTTACTTAAATAGATCCTTATTTTAAAAAGAAGAAGAAGAAGAAGAAGCATTTGAACTTGGCTTCCAAGAGAAGAGGATCTCAGCCAGGAGAGCTAGGACAACAGTGAAAGCAAAGGAGAAGGCTGCACAAAGAGCAGACGGGCCATCGTGAAGCACCAAAAGTCCAACTTGGCTGGACTTGTGTGGATAGATTTGGATAAATTTGTATACTGTGATAATCAGAATGAGGCCAAAGGCGCCGAGATGCTCGTCTTTCCAGAGAAGCTAAGGCTGCTTCAATCAGCGACTAGCACGGGGCCCGGACCTGGCAGCACCACGGCCTCCGACTCAGCGCTCGCCTGCCTCTGCTGGGCCCTCATCCTGCGCAACGATGAGCTGACAGTCCGAGGGCAAGATTGATGCCCCCATTAAAGCAGCGGGGTTCGACGTTAAACCTTTCTGGCCCGGCTTGCTTGCAGAGGTCCTGGCCAATGTCTACATCGGGAGCCTCAGCTGCAGTGCAGGCGCTGAGGGACCCGCCTGGCAGCCAGTGCTGCGCCAGCAGGAGGCCCCGCGCCTCCACCCCTGCTGCCCAGCTGAGGAGAAGAAAGTGGAAGCAAGAATCCGAGGAGTCTGCTGATGACGTGGGCTTTGATCTTTTTGACTAAACCTCTTCTGTAACCTGTTCGATAGGCTGAACCCCCTTTTTGGGGGATATATTTTTCAAATTCATTCATTTAAGTAATCTCTATATATACCCAACGTGGGGCTCATTTGGTTTGGTTTTTGGTTTTAAGGTTGGGGGAACATGCCGATCCGGGTAATTTTTGGCACAGCCAGTGTCCAGCACTTGGCATTTTACAGACCGCAGGAATGGGTTCAGGATTGGACATGTTAACCAAATTCAACCCAAATGAGACTCTAGGAGAGATTTGCTGGGCTTATGGCAAAGACATGTTCTCACCTTTGAGAATGCTAACAAAAGGGAGTCTTTCTCTCTAGATGTGTAAAAGGAAATACCAGTGTTTATATTTATATATAATTTATATTTACATAGTGACCAGGAGATGGAACCAGTCTTATAATTAAGCCACTACCATAAAAGGGTCAGCAGAGAAATATAAAGAAACTGGATCCTTGATGACATCACTGGGTCGCTGAGTCAAACAATCCCTAAAATATGCTACCTTTTTCTGGAATTTCCAGGTATGGGAGGTAATCTTTATTTTTGCTTAAGCCAATTTAAAGTCAGTTTTCTGTTACTTGCCACCTAAGTTCTCCAATATGAGGTGCACTGACTTGGTGGCTCAGTGTTAGCCGCACACCGCACAGCTAGGCAGTGGGGAAGCAGAACGCAAACCTGAGTCTCTCCTCATGCCCACACAGCGCCGCCTCTGCTACCTTATGCCCATCTTCGTCATTACCAAAGCAAGTGGCCCATGCGTTCCCTCCCTTGCAGTTCAGTCCCCTGCCCTGCACCTGCTGACCTATACCCTTCCAAGCCATGTCCCTTCTCGATTACCCTGCTGTGATCGCTGGAATTTATTTCAACCACCAAAATATGTATCTATGCTTTCCATCTGTTTCTCAGTCCCTCCTTTGTCTCCCCATCTCACTGATACCTGGCTTTCTCTTGAGGTCTGCAGGTGTCTTGCGCCTCAGGAGGAAGCAGCTCAGGGGCTCACACCTTGGCTGTAGGTCCAGCTAGTTTCTGGCTTACTCATTAGAACTCCAGAATATTGTTTTAACTTCATTTTAAAATTCACTTTTTAAAACCAAGAAACTCTTAACTATGGAGAACAAACTGCTGGTTACCAGAAGGGAGGTGGGTGGGGAGATGGGTTAAGCAGGTGATAGGGATTAAGGAGGGCCCTTGTGATGAGCACTGGATGTATGGAAGTGTTGAATTACTACATTGTACACACCTGCAACTAATACT